GGCGGGGCTGGCCGCGGTCATGCCGAGCGTTCCCGTTGCCAGCCCTACGCCCGAGGGTCACCGGGGGGTTTTTAGTGGGTGAAACCCCACATTGGCCATCTCCGCCCCCAGCGAAGGCGGTGCATCTTTTCAAGGTTTTCCCCCCGTGAAAAAAAAAAAGAAAAATACATACGCGAGAACCAATTTATCATTACATACTTCAGTTCTTCCTACAAGCACTTTTATGCAAGTAAATACCATTCCTTCAATTAATTTTGTTTTTATTTTTTTTGTTTATTAATAATATTTCAAGGTACTTTTACAGCAATTTTAATCAATATATACATTACAATTATGTCATTGAATCGATCCTATATTCTGTGATACTATAGTATAATAAAGGAGAATAATAATAACTTTTTATTAAATTTTTATATAAAAGATGTTGTGGTAGTGTTTTGCTGTTCCATTGTATACAAGTATTTTTGTTGATTCTTTATATCGAATTGAATCAAATTTCTGCATGTATCCATAATTTCTTGCATTTTTTACAATGCATGCTACATTGTTTCCTCGTAAAGTGAAATAAATCCGCTCCTTGCTATAATAGCTCTTGAATAAAGTGCTAGTAGAATCGCAGGTAAAGAGTAGCTAAAGACACGAGTGCCAACGGGTAACGGCGCGGGCACGGGTGGGAAGATTACACGCTGCGATAACTTCGGGCGGGCATAGGCAGCTAGATATAGTATGTATATGCAGACCCGCTGGCCCGACACCGGGTTTGGGCGGGCTTGGGTGAACCGAAACACGACGGGTAACTGGCAGGCAGACCCGTGTATATGTACCCTCGCGAGCAAACTCGGCTTCCGCTAGGGGAAAAAGCAATGCAGGAGAAGGGCCTTCTATCACTTGGTCTCGGGAAATATTGAAATTTATGTCAAATTAACATTCAATTTAACATTTATTTCGGTACTTGAAATAAATTTACCAAGTGGTAGGAGGCCCTTTACCTACGCCATTTTTTCCCCTAGCGGAAGCCGAGTTTGCTCGTGGGTGTACCTATATCCGCCCGTTGCAGATCTCTACTCTTCATCTGAGAGTATGCCACCTCTTTGTTTCCAACAATTGCTCGGTATGCAGCTAAACGGTGTGATCGATGGAACTCTGATTCCATTTATCTCTTTCGTGCGGCCACTGCGGCAGGATAAGGAGATCGATGGACCTCAATTTCATCAGTCCCTTAATGGGGCTGATAGAATCTTAGTTTCGTTTGTCGCTCTACCTTGCATTTAGTTTACTTAGTTAAGTTAAGTCGATCGTAAGACTAGTGTAAGCTCAAGAAAGAAGACATCGATCGTCTGCCGTGAGATTTTCATGTTATTTTGATTTAGACGAAAAAGAAGCCGTCGATTATCCGCCGAGGGATGTTCATTTTATTTTCAGTTAGACTCAAGAAAGAAGACGTCAGCAGAGGGAAAGCAACATTAGAGCGTCTAAATTTAAGTTACTTTTAAGTTCATTGTAAGTCTGTGTAAAAAGGGAGGTGGATGAAACTAACGATTCCGTTGATGTAACTGCACTTGCACATCGCTCACACACTTACACATTGGCTCGTGATGCACCGTGTGGTAGACGTTCGTGTGTTGTTAATGTCCAGAGGCACGGATTTCGTCTAGGAAAGACTGTGTATCGAAGGTTCGTCCCACCAGTTGCCTAAATCCAGTGATTTAGGGTAATACCGGTTCGAGACCCACCACTTGCAGAAACTGTAGTCTCCCGAGGCCGAAGCCGATCGCCGCTCGATTTCT